GATACAACGTTCAAGTACAAAGTCTGTCACATCCCTCTCTCTTTTTTTCCTCTTTTTATTTACCCTTCTTATCTTATTGTACTGTTTATTGTTACTCTTATTTGCTCTGTATATTTACTGTACAAACTGAACTGGAATGACTGTTCGCTTTATAATTTCAATAAAGTTGAGAAAAAACAAAAAAACAAACCTTAATAGCACCACCTAGTGGACTGAAGAAGCAAATCTTTTTTTATCCTGGTAGCCTTCGAAAAAGTTTAGTTTGCTCCAATTTTATTTATTCAGTACCATTTTAACTGTAACTTCCACTTGCATCTGCTGCTTATATAATCTGATGTTGATGTCTCTGACATCCAGAGAGTTGGTGTGCAAAAGCAAACGGCTGGTGGGGCTCAAGTGCCTGTTGGCTGTGGGCATTCAAAGCTATTTCACACACGGCACTGAAAACGTTTGTCCACGCTCACTGTGGGTCTCATTTCTTTAGCAGTTCATCGAGCTGCATCTGAAAGTGAAGAGCACATCCTAGTGTGGATCTGGGTGCCTCCATCCTCTCAGACTGGCTGCATCATCAGTTGTCTTGCAGTTGTGCTTCCAAAGCTGGTGCACAGGTGTCTGCTGCAGAGATGATGAAAACACTTCTCTTCTGTGTTAGTGGCAGATGGTGGCTGTGTTGGCTCCTGCAGGTCATGGAAGTGACGGCTTTTTGTAGTGGTATTGATTGTATACCCTGATGTAGACATACAAATGTGGTGGTGATAAGTCTTTTAAACCCTGTTTTGATAAATGTTGTGTTTTTTGTGCGTCCCCTGCCTTTGCAGCTCACTCCACTCTACAGTTTGGGTTAGCTCTAAAACATTTGCTTTTGCTGCCCCACATACCCAGACTGCCTCAGAGCTGTTACAAGGTACGCTGTTGCTTTGGTGTTTGTTTCCCTTCTTAGAGTTTCAACCATATTTGCTATGTAGTTGTCAGTTATTGTGTCTGTGTGCAGACAGATAGTTTACTGGAGATAAATCGATTAGTGTTCATCAGAGGAATTTCCTAGGAAAAGAGCTCACAGAGAAACTGGATCTTGTTTATAATATCAAATGCAAAAGCCAGATTAGTCGGATTGCTGTGTTTGATTGACTGCACAAAGAGAATATTTCGAAATAAAGACACATTTGAACAGGAAGGCTGAAGCTGCAGGCACAGTGCAGTTGGATGTTTTCCTTCCTCTTCAGCCCCAGATGTCCGTTGCAGAGGAGAGCTTTACATCGCTCTTATCTCTGAGTCATTAACTGATAAAAACTCCATGTAGCAGTGAGTGCACATAACATTGCTGTGCCACAAAAACACAGGCAACTACAATGCTCCTATTGACGAGGAAGTCTGCTCCCAAAATTCTCTGTAAGTGCTGGGCCCGATTCAAAGCCACTGTGTTAATATGGAAAGTGTTGACTCTCCTCTCCTCTCACCTGTTCCAGTGAAAACCATTTCCCACAATATACAATATGTACAGTATATTGGATGTCGTGCTTAAATGTTGTTTGCAGTGAGCCTGATCAGGTACTTTGAAATTTAAATTTATCATCTAAATGGTTTAGCTTCTGTGGTAATGCTTACACCTGTGCAGAGTGAGTCATTGGTAAAACAGTTCTACTTTTTACAGAAACAAGTACATGTAGTTCGTTCAGGCTACGTAACCTGCGGCTAAGTTTTCCTGTTATATAAATAGTAGGCTGTCTCTCGTGGAGGTGCAGTTTTCAGCAGTTACAGCAAACCTGCAAGCTGCTGCAGAAAGCGATGCAAAATGATCCTGCAACATGTCAGAGACGCCCTTCATGCATCAGTACTGGGGCCGTGTGGCTGCTCACGTGTGCTTCCACATTTTTACTGCTGCAGCTAATTGTTAATAAGTTGTTATTTGTTACTTTACAGATATTTATAGCTGGGACTAAAATGTATCATTTTGTAATTAAAAGTAAGAGTTTAGAGATTGAAAACACTGCATCTCTGAAACATCGCTTCAGTGTTTCAGAGATGGACACAGACCTAGACCTTGAGTTTTTATTTTTTAAATGGCTGTGCTTCATGCATCATGTATGGAGCCTGCACCTGCACCACACTTGGATGTTTTATGAAACCAGACCTGGCTTTCTTTTCTTGTCTTAAAGGAGTTCTTACATGTGTCTTCATACTACACTCTACATCACACATATTGGTCAAGATGGTAAGTAAAACAAAATGTACCTGTTAGGGTGATTGATCACATTTACTTGCTAATGCTATCTCTGTTTCCACAAATGTGCAGCGATCTCAGAGCAGGGAAAGCAGAGCCAATGGCAGTTTATGTAGCATGCTAGTCTTCCGTCATGTTCCTATCAAACACCAGACGTGTGCCCACAATGCAAAAAGGTGCTAACCTCTCAGCTTGAGAACATCAAGTAATTGCTGACGGCACAGTTGGGATGCTAGCCCGGTACAGCTTTCAGGGCAGTCAGAAGCAAGCAGAGCCTGCTTCCACAGACGCTGATCAGCTGCAGTGAGAAGATGTAGTAATTTAAAGGTTGTTTGCAAGCAGGTAACGAGAGAAAGTTTGCCACAGAATGAGATAGCAAGCACTGCTTTCCTTGCTTGCCCTGACAGAACACCACTGGTTTAATATATAAAATGTAGAAAAGAAGAAGTGAATTATTTATGTCTCACTATGATGAGACGAAACCAAACGTTTTAAATTTTGGGGGGGTTTCGGCTTTAAAGGGAATTATTGTTGTTCTTGTTGTGTCATTATGTACTGTACAATGGTTGCTGTGAAAGCCCCACCCATCTGCTATTCAAACTATAATTTACCTGGCTTTTAGCACTGGTGAGCAGTGCTTACTCCTTTAAGCATTGACAGTCCTACAAAAACAATTTAAATCCTCCGACTGTTTTTACTAATAGACTGTTGTAACCATACATGCTTTTCAACAGGACACAGATAGGTTCAGCTGGTAACTAAAGAAGTGACCTTCCTTTCATATCAAAAATCCTTGAAAGAGTAGTTGTCTTTCAATTACAGCATAACTAAGGGAGGATTCAGGGTCACCTGGTCCAGCCCTAACTATATGCTTTAGCAAAAAGGAAAGTTTGAAGCCTGATCTTGAAAGTAGAGATAGTGTCTGTCTCCTGAATCCAAACTGGAAGCTGGTTCCACAGAAGAGGGGCCTGAAAACTGAAGGCTCTGCCTCCCATTCTACTTTTAAATACTCTAGGAACAACAAGTAGGCCTGCAGTGTGAGAGCGAGGCTGCATCAAGGTCTCCAATTGTCTTTTAATGAAACAGGTGGAAAAGTTGTAAAAGTAACAAGTTTCAGTCAAAACTGAGCTGAATCTAATGGAAAACTAAAACACTGTCAGTACAAATGCAAATTTGAAATCCTCAGGCAATGAGAAAAGCTTTACATATTTGAAATGTTGCTTTAACCTCCCAAGACCTGAACTCTTCCACAGGAGCATTTTTAATTTCTCTTTGATATTTGGTCACATTGGGGTCCGATGAATGTAAAAACAAAGAATTACCAGATTTTTTTTCCTTATTTTTGTTTTTAAGAAAAATAAGAGCCACATATGAGGATATTCGTTTAAAATTTCGATAGAACAGTAGCATATAACGTCCTCGTAAGTGGATATCAGGCCCTTGTAGAGCAAAATTCAGTATTTTGGTCTAAATAACCCAAAATGTGACGTCCACATATGTGGACACCAGGTCCTAGGAGGTTAATGTCGGGCACTTTGTGCCGTGCAGAACAGTGGACAGTGTGCGTTTGCTTAGTGTGGCTAACGTTGGTATTATTGTGTGCAGAATGTGGTTCCAGTCACGTGGTTATTTACCAGAACACTCAGCTGAAGTACTGCAGGACCACACTGGTTAGCGGGCTTGTCACAAGTCTACACGGGGGGGGGCTGCAATGATTAGAAAGTGATAGATGTAAGCATTTAAATGGATCTGTACAACGTATAAGCAGAGTCTTTTGTTAGACCAACAAAGACTTTTTCGAAGCTGCTCCTCTTGAAAACACTTGTATAAGCTGGCTTTATTATAACGTTGTGGTCAGGTGTTCTTTACCTGTGAACAGAGACCGGCTCTACCACACAACAGGCTAAAGCAGCAGCATCGTTTTTGTTGGATAATACTGGAGCTTTAAGGGCAGCCCAGCACTGTGGCACCAAGTACAGCTGCTGTCACCACATAAAGTCACACTGTGTGTAAGACCTGTGCATCCAGAAACCTTTACTGTGTCAGATATTAAACGTCGCAGGGATCACAGTGAACACTCAGACGCAGCGCTGGTGTCTCTGAGTGTCCACCTGAGGACTGCATGCAAATCCAAGCTGGCAGAAGTTGAGCCACTTTAATGTTTAGCTAGTTTATCTGACTGCTGTCTGTGTGATTATGAAGTCATGCACATCAAATGTAACCAGGTTTATCCTGTAAACATCACACAGTATGGGCAAATTTTCATTGACAAGTAATGAACTGCCAGCGTCCCAATCAGCAGACACAGAAAGTTTAGCAGAGCAGAGAAGGTATCCTCCTCTTTTTAAACACCAGGTCTAGACCACTCAGGGTTTTATACAAACACAGTGAAGGCTTCACACAAAAAGGTGCCATTATTTTTCAGTTATTTGTCTCAGGGAGCCCCAACCATTTATCAGCAGGTGGACATCGCAGGATTGCATCACACACCTGCAGCTAGAAATGAAGAGCAGCAAAAAGAAAATATGGAAACAACGTATCCTCTGGAACTGTGCTGATGACAAATGGCTGAGGGGAGGAGCGACTGAGCTGCTTTACAGCCTCTCTCACTCCCATGCTCCTGATGCTTCCTGACCCTAATCTTGACTGCAGATGCAAATAGTCTAAAAAACGTCCCCACCAAACATTTGCATTTAAACAAATAGATAAAGGTCATTTTGAAAAGCTGCCTCCTCATGGTTGCAGTGTGAGGTGGCATGTTCCATGTGTCCCTGCCCTCCTCACAGCCTGATTAAAGCTCCTATTGCAGCACGCCACTCAGTATGGTGCTGCACTCCTGGATCTAGCTACTACAGGCAAATACAGCAGGGGGAGAACAGAAAGGCCTCTGTGTGTGTGCGCATCAACAGCATCATGGACACAGGTAAGTGTGCTATTATTATGCTGTTTTATACATAATGGAAATATTGAAAAATGTTTGGTTTTACTTTTACAGTGTATGTCGGGTTTTTTAAGGGTTTGTCTGGTTTTGTGTGAGATCGTGACGGAGGCTTTTATTTGAGTGGGAAAAGTTTCTTCAAAAAGTTTCCTGCGCTGATATTGATGAAGCTGCTCGTGTGTGACACGTATCAATGAGGACTAAATGTCTAGTTTTAAGAAAACTCTACAGATGTTGACACGAGGAGGTCATTTCTGAACGTTTTAAGGTCATTTCTAAAAAGGAAAAAACAACCTCCTCCAAAGAAGAGTTGATATTTTCAAGAATCTCACGTTTGTGCAAAGTTGGGCCTTATCTAAAGGATCCATTCAAAAAGCTGGGGTCTTTTACATAAAGATTTTTGCATGCAATTTCCGTTTGCATAGTAAAGTTTGCATTTTCATTGAGTTTCTACCTCTGCTTCCCAGGAATGTGACCAAATCACACCAACACACACGTGAGATTTGTAGAGGACTATTTAATATATGACACGATGTGCCGCCATGATGCTCGCTGGCATCGCCTGCCTATTCAGTCGTGGCGCTTCTTTGCAGTGTAGTCGTTCCTCCGTACCACCTAAGCCCTCTGGAGTGTTTGCTTATGGTGAGGTTTTGGCAAGAGTTTGTAGTTAATTGCCTCTTTTTAGAAGTCCATTTGCATTGACCAAACCAAAGGCAATTTCCATGACATTTACACACCAATCCCAAAGAGTCATTCGCCTATATGCATAAAACTGTGAAGCATTCAAATGACCACACATTTGTGGGAATGGATGAAAATTTGTATGACGTCGTGTTACAAGTTGAGCTGCATCACTCATGTCTGTGCTCTGTCTGTCTGCAGAATATTCTAAGAGAGTGTACCAGGGCGTCCGAGTGAAGCACACGGTCAAAGACCTGCTGGCAGAGAAAAGGTCCCGGCAGACAAACGGACCCAGATACAGCGTGAGCACCACGTCTTCTAAACCGCCTGTCTCTCCCTGCTTTACTTTCCTCTATCAAGCCAAACGGCACAGCTGACCTTCTCTTAGCGACTGGGAGGTTTTCTAAAAACAAAAAAACTCCTCTTGTTTACATTGAGGCTCGTTTTTGTGCGCTAACGATCCACGGTGGATCCTTTGACCACCTGTACCTCGCTTGCAAAGCCATTCTGTAAATAGCCGAGCACTGTGCGTGTAGAAAGAGACACGGAGCACAAAAACTCATCCTAACCTCACAAAGGAGCGCTAATACAATGCCTGCAATGCTGTAGGCCATGATCTCCCAAAAAAATCCACAAAAAGGTGGAGGCAGGGCGGGGGGATTTGAGGTGGACAGGTAGCACAGAGAAACAGAAGAAAGGGCCCGTGCAGGAGACTGCCTATGCAAAGTTTGATCCGTGCACACCTGCCAGCCGATATTGTCCTGCGCCGTGATCAGGCCACAGACAAACCTCCTATTGTTGTCTCAGACACACACTTTCTCACACACATGCACACAGAGAAATCAGGCTGTGCTTCTGTGCTTTAGACGCCTGCTCGCACACGCAAGACTGCCTTTTTATTTTCCACAAACCGCCTGTCAAAAGGCTTTTACAGGACACTGTTTGTTTTCTGTGCTGGCACGTCCACGCCATACACTCGCTGATGGCTCGAGCAATGGAGGAATTATGTCAGACAACATTGGAAGATGCCAGCAGACGTTTCCTCTATCTGCTGCAGTGCGGTGCTCATTATAACATTTTTGGCACAGGTGTACTTTTGTGTGTGGGTGGGGGTGGGGTAAATTCCTAGCACGTAGGCTGACATTATCACAGACAGAAATTCACTCTGTCGCTGGTTCTTAAACTCTTTGTGTGGAGGCAGAGCTGCCATAAAAGATTAAAAGTTTAGCTTCATTTGATGCTGAAGGACAGGTCGTTAACAACAACAAGAAACTAACAGAACTATTTAGTCTTAATCAGAGCCGAGATGCTGTTTAGATTGTGTTGCAGACGTCCTGTGACAGCAGAAGAAGGCGAGGAATAGTCTGGATTTTATTTAACGTCAACTAATTTTCAATCAAAACTGAAAATGGGAACAAAGTAATCAAAACAAATCAAAGCTGTTATTAAAAAGTGGTGAAGAGCAGCTCTGCGAGATTGGGCATCGTCTCAGAAACAGACGACCTTAATCTAACGAGCTCCACATCCAGCTGTGTGGCTACCGCACACAAGTGTGACAGACTGTACGCTTTTGTCAGGGCTCGGTGAATCGACGGGAGCTCCAGAAGCTATCTTCTTGCTTTTATTACTTCCCTTAAATTTGAATAACAAGCTAACACCTGTGGCATCATTCCAATTGTTTTTTCAGTCCGTCAGCATTTTCGCTTTTTTGATATTCCAAACTGAATCGAGCGAAGCCTGCAGGCGACGTGAGCTGTGCACGTCACACACAGGGGCAGGGATAGCTCAGTAGGTAGAGTGGTGGCCCCATGATCGGAAGGTCGGGGGTTCGACTCCACTGAACGGCTGCCCTGAGGTACCCCTGAGCAAGGTACCGTCCCTACATGCCGCTCCCCGGGCGCTGCGTTGGTGGCTGCCCACTGCTTCACTGGGTGAATGGGTTAAATGCAGAGGAACTAGTTCCCTATGGGGACTAACACGCACATGTGTAACATGGCTCGCTCTGCTCACGTCTATCAAACGCTCTTCGTTCTGGCCTCGTCTTTAAGCTCCCCCACTCTCACAGCCACTCCAGCATCCACCCGTAGGCCACATTTACTCATCACTTATATGCACAATAGCATACTTGTGGAGAGTGATGAGTTTTATGACTTCCTTGAGAATCCCAGACTCTGATGGTGATGGTAATAAATCATTTCAAACATAAGTTGTCTGATGGGAAAACGTTCAACACACCTTTGTTTCGTTTAATACAGCTGAGCAACCGTTCTTTAGATAACCAATAATCCACCAAATCTCCATACGTCGTCTCTTTAAACTAACGTTTGGCTACTTTTTGTTACAATATTTATCTGTTAGCCTTAGCGCTCCTTAGCTGTCCATGTTCGATTTAAGCATTTTTCTCATTCATTTATGAATTTTAATCCATCACTCTTGGTTAACAATTTATTCCAATAGTTGTCCATTACCTGTGGCTAACTGCCGGCTCAGGTAATAGGACGTGGTCAGTGTGTAGTCCCTGAGAAACAGTTGTTTGGGAGCAGTTGGCCTTTAATCCCACAAACTTTATTTAACTGTGGACTCTATAGCTTATTGTTACATGTTATGTTAGCATGTACAATATACCAAAGCATGTCAAACAATAGTCTCCTTTGGAGACAACGAGGCGTGTAAAAGAATCTTAGTTGCTACCTCTGCGTTCTGTTTTCATGGTCAAATGTGGTATTATGCAATCATTGGGCCAAAAGAATACAGCATGGAGGCAGTATGACAGGCCATTGTCTGCAGGTCTACAGTCTGCTTTCAGTGTGGGCTTTACTGTGTGTTTATAAATGATGGTTGTAGAGCTAATAATGCACAGAGGCACACAGTAACTAAAGCCATTCCCGCCCTTGTGTTGGCTTGTGCTGCCTTTTACCTGGGAATAAAAGGCCATTGAAAGATAAGAGCAAACTCTGACCACAGTCTCCTCATGTTGGGACAGCCAGACAGAAACTATAAAGCTCTTACACCATTTCACATCAGCAGCTTCTCTTTTCTGACATGTTCTGTCGAGCTAGCGTGTCCAGACATGTTGCTATTACATAAATGAGCCTGGGAACAAATCAAAGTGTGACATGATGCTGAAGAGACATCGCGAGGTGTACCGGGGTGAAAGCGCTAATGCTAACAAACAACACAAACTCACTCTTTGTGTGTGTGTGTTGCACGAACAACATGCAGGAGATGCTACAACACAGTGCAACATGCTGGATAAAAAGCAAACAATGAGCCAGGAAGAAATATGGATCAAGTTTCTGTTTAAAGTAGGAAAATTTACAAAAAACAGTTGTGCGTGTTCGATTTTAAAAATATGAAATGGGCTGTTTTAAAAATATCATTGTGTAACATATTTTGCATAGGAAGGAAGAGCTTTTCTGCGAAACAAAGCTAAATAAATCTATCGTTAGTCAACGCCACGGCACAAATACGCACACTACCTGACTGTCTGAGCTTGAGCGAGCTGATTTCCATAGGCAGCCTTCAGAGATGCACTGAGCCATACCTGGGCCACATGAGGAAGTCTTGGCACTGGCAAATCACATTCAAATTTAACCCTCAAAATTTGCGTGCGTCCCAGCCGACATGGGCTTAATATCAACTCTTTCATGTTAGCAATATGCAAACCAGAGATCCTGCCAAACCTTGTCCTCTGTGTCCCTGCGCTGCAACTCTCTGACACGAATCTGTGTCTGCTTTTAGAGCAGAAACAAACTGCAGTGCTGTGTGGTCAACAACATCCAGAGGCAACCGGGTTCTCTGAGCCTCCAGTGACAAGCGTACCAAAGATGACACAGCAAACAGGGCCGCGTCATACATGGTGAACACTGGAGACCAGTGATGCAGGTCCATCAGCAGCGTGACTCCAGACTTTGAAATCCTGTCAGATAAACACTTATGTAATATTTCACATTAGTGCTCTGTGGTGAATGACCAACAGTGTGTGAGTCCTTTAATGTTACGCAGCGAGTAAGAGATCTGACTGTGTTTGCAGCTTTGTTGATTCTTACGATTCTTATTTTGCTCCCTCAAAGGTCTCGTCTATAATAAAAACTACTTTTTGGCCTAACTCTGTGCTTTGGACAAAGGCGGGAACACAAACTACACACTCTGGGTTGGGCTTACGGTTGGGGTTGTCACAAGTGTGGACTTATGGATGAAAGGGGCTGTTAGCATGTTTCATGCTGGTAATACCACAGTTAGGTCAAACTAAAAGTAAAGGTCTGTCTGTCCGAATAATGAGTGTGAAATTTGTTTGGAGTTTAAATTTGAGGACCTTTACAAAGTGCTCTGTAATATTGGTGGCATTGACTTAATTTCAAGAGTTGTCATCCATTATTTTAGGTTTGCTGGTCTTCCTGCCTCGCTGTGCTCTGCTGCTGACACTTTGTATCCGTACGAACTCAAGAGGCCGTTTCCCTGTTGAAGAGCAGTTATTGACTCGGGCTTACAGTAAGGGCTTAAACATTAAGCCAGTGACTGATCCCTGCAAACATGATGTCCAGCGTCTATCTCAGGCTGCATCTTACATATCACGTGGAGACGGGTTATAAATAGAAGCATTTATGTGGTTTTGGTCCAGCTGCAAATTCATACAAGGCTGATCTGAGCAATCGCCCTTAGCACCAGAGAAACTCAAGACCAAATACACATTTGTGTTCTAGGATGATGTTTCATCCTTCCTTCTTCACTCATCATCCCGTGACATGTCTGGGTTTGTTTTGTTTTTTTGTCAGCTGATATGTTTTAGGGCCAACAAACATCTGTTTAGAAACAACAGCATTTGCTTCTAAGACAAAAGTGTTGCTGTAACAGTGTTAACTGCTAGACCACAGGAACCGTTTTCAACAAAGAAGACAAGTATCGGTGGAACTCCATAATTCATATATAAGTAAAACCTGGAATGTCTCTGTTTCTGCAGGGAGGATCAACCACTCCGCCATCATTCGTCCAGATGCCAGGTGAGCGTCCTCTGACCGAGTCTGTTACTCAGTGACAGAGCAGGGTGTCTGGAGTCACTGAGTAACAATGATAAAGGCATTTCTGCTTCTCCACTTCAGGTGCCCACATGCTGCCCAGCTACTATGGCATAAGAGGACGTTCCTTCATCTCTGACTCAGATTTCTGCCCATCCACCAAGCAGTTCTCCCCTGATGTCTATTCCTCCACCCTTGGGGGTAAGCCTCTAGGCTGTGAGCCCTCCACCATGAGCAGCTACTCCTCGCTCATAGACAGCTACTACCCAGAAACCTTTGGTGACTACCGCAGCGCCGCCACCTTCTCCAGCTCCGGCGGGTCCTTCCTGCCCTCGTCAGCACTGTCCTCCCTGCTGCCACCCTTCGGAGGAGAGTCCTCGCATCTGTTTCTGGTATGAATCAGAGTGACGGTGGCACGCTGACAAAACAAAGCGCATGTTCAGAATAACCTTCGTGGATTTAAAAACGGCAACACAGAAGTTCAGCGTACCTTTTTAGTTACTGTGAAACATAAACATATACTCTGCGTGATGTTCACATTTTTCAAGTGTCAGCCAGCTGACCGACAGCTACAAATGTTCCTGCAGGGCTCTGCGTGTACGCAGCTCTGATCATAGTCTCTGCATGCCTGGTATTTTCAGTACAAAGTTCCTGTTGTTCTTCCTTCACAGCTGAAAGAGGAAAGTTTAGAAGCTGTCTGCTTTATTTGTCAAACTGAGACCTCCGTAGTCTCATATTAGCTTCAGATCAACTTTGTCAGTGCAGACTGATTTCCCATCAGCTCCACTTATGTTCAGTGTGAAAAATGTTTCTCTGTTTTGAAGAAAAATCAGTAACTTTGTTCTGACAAGCTAATCTATTAACATGGCGAGGGACACGATGCTGCTGAGTGTAAGAAGACTCAGAGCTCGAGGATTTCAACGATACCAAGCTGCAGTGAAGAGCAGGAACACGCTGAGACAAGAGGAACCGAAAGAACCAAGTTCTATTGGTCATTTCATGCATTTGGATTTGGATTTAATTTAGTTACTTTAGTCACTAGTGAGATTACATTTTTTAAATCCAGTCCACACAGCAGGTGCGACGTTGTTAAAGAGAATGCTCTGTGATCAACATTAGGCTCTGTTAGTGTCTGGGCTGTGAGTCACTTCATGCTTTCACTTTAAATAACTGTTGGCCGACTAATTTTCCATATGCAAAATTCTTTTCCTTTTATCGTTGTTTGTGTCGACCCCCTGAGATTTATGTGTTCACCGGGGTCGGGGTTAGGAACTGCTGCTCTACAGGGCCAGCTTTGACACTTCAGCTGAGAGTACTCGAGTACAGTGAAGGACGTTCTTCTCGTAGTGGAGCATTTTTAAATGAGCAATCTTTCCACCGCAGTTCGAGATGAAAAAAGTTCATTTTTTATGTGACGTTTTTGTTTGACTGGTCACTGACTGCACAGCTAGAGCCAAGAGCATTCAGCACAGGACAGTTATGCTAGCTGTGCACTGCTGTTTAAAGAAAACTCTAAAATATAACAAGACTAACAAGGACATTTAATAAGTGGAATTATTGATAATCTTGCGGAGCTATTTGGGCCCTAAAGTCAAACTTTTAGCAGCAGTCACAGAGGCGGCGTGGCACCGATGACCTTCATAGTACGCCTGCCTGGTCGTCATCCTAACTGCACTGATGGCGTGTATGGAAGTTTTTAGAGTGAAAAACAGACATGCTCCTCGTTCAGCCACATTTGCAGTTTGTGCTCTGATGTTACATTTTTGCACACCATTGGACAGGGTGGGCGGTGTGCCTCGACCGGACTGCACAGAGGATTCTAGAAAAGCCAAAACCAAAACTGTATTCATGGATAGATCACAAATACACTTCAGTTACTGAGATCCATTTAAAGTCCGAGTTCTAGAGTGGTCGAGGTTGCATGTCCGCAGAGGCTTTCAGATGTGCTCGCAGGGCAGGGAAGTGAAACAAACGTAGTGAAGGAAATAATGCGACACTACAGGAAACGCTCTCGTTACAAAAGGTCTGCTGTGATGTTGGGGACTTTGCACTATCTGATGAGGAAATAAATGACTGATTCATCCTTTCCTCTGCTGTCTTCCTGCTGCAGAGAGACTCGTGGGAGCAGTCTGAGCCAGTATCTCAGGTGGAGGCTCTGTGTCAGGACAACCTGGCCTCCGTCAGCGTCCCACCCTCCATGCCCAGCCCCGAACCTCCAGGGAGCCCCTCCCAGTACCGCTCTCCGAGTCGAAGCTCCTCCCTGGGCCCCGTCTCCAGCAGCCAGCCCTACACTCTGCACTCTCTGGAGGATGTCCACTATCACCCTTTAACCTCCACCAGCACTTACCCCACCACACCCTCCTCCTCCTCCTTCCCCTGCCCTCCCTACATGAGCAGCCCCGTCACAGATCTGGTGACCAAGATGGTGACGGAGGAGGCGGCCGACGGCCACGGCAGCCTAACCCCCGGCGCCGAAGCTCATTCCTCCTGGGCTAAGGAAGAGGGGGTGAGCGCCTGGTCGCCCTATGAGATTCGGAGGGCCTACTGACTGAATTCAGAAGATTCAGACGATTTTACAGACACTGATGAACTCAACACTGCTGTAAATTCTTGGGGAGGTTTTTCCAAGAAAATTTCAATGTCAATTTGCTAAAAATATTCAAATTTTAAAGTGTCCCTGTTGTGCTCATTCCCTGTACCCTTGCACTTTGTGCTCAGCTCTTCATTTCACCCTCAGTTGGAAACACGCTGTGTTGGCTGCTGTCTCTGTGAGACCCTTCAAAAGCATCTGGGTGTGATGAAAGTGAGACAGTGCTGAAATGCTCTAAACCGCGGAGTCGGAGCTGCTCGATGAACAATGTGGTAAAACCATTTCTTAATTACTCCAAGCATCTGAGCATATCCGACAATATATACATCAAGAAATATGACTGTACCCTCGTATCTGTTAACCAACACATTTATCTGTAAGACAGCAAAGCTTAGCCACATCAACTGCACACTTTGCTGGCACTGAAGGGGAGAGGCTCAGGTGGCTGAGGGGAATGCAAGGCTTCTCATTTGAACTCGCTCCAGGTGTCACATAGTGACATAGATGAGCCACAGAAAAAAGAGTGATGAGGTTCATTTTGAAAACCACGTGAACAGAAAAGCCAGACAGGGGGCACACAGGGGCACTTTAACCTGTTGGTGGCCTCATTCTGCCAAAGGTCCAGTCTGACTGTAGAATAGCACGATTTCTTTTTTTTACCACTATTTCCCGTACGGTGTGGACGTGATCACAAAGCATAGCTTAACTTATAAGGCTGGAGTTAAAGAGCGTATACCAAAGCAAGGATAATGGCTTTGAGGGCGTATATTCTGAGGATTTTGTTTTTTCATAATGTGTGAACATGCTGCATCTTAATCATTGTACCCTGAAGGTTCCTGTAACTTCAGGCTGTAACTGTTATTAAACTGCAGGCTACTGCCATTTGTACGACCCGGCTAAGTGTGGTGCTTGAATGCAGAGGTTGTCTGGATTTACTGGGAATGAAGCAATTGTGATGCTTCCCTTCTGTTCAGGTTTATTTATATAGCTTCAAAACACACTGACAGTCACCTTAAGACTCTTTATACTGTAAGGTAAATGCCCTACAGTATTCTGGAGAAAGCCCAAACGACCCCCGTGAGCACTTTGGGGAGGAAGGGTATGAGGGAAGGATAAACAGCCTTTTAACAGGAAGAAAGGCTGATGTGAGCAGATGGGCGTGAGGGCAAAGAGAAAAGAGGATGCCATCGCCCACGTCCTACACACCACTCTCAGCCACGTGGACAAGAAACAGGGTAACTATGTGCGAATGCTGTTTGTTGATTACAGTTCAGCGTTTAACACAATAGTGCCCTGCAGACTGTTCACAAAGCTGAGGGATCTGGGACTTAACAGCCGTCTGTGTGCATGGGTGTTGGACTTCCTCACTGGCAGAACTCAGGTGGTGAGGGTGGGCAGGTGCTTCTCCAACAGCATCACCATCAACACAGGAGCACCTCAGGGATGTGTCCTCTCGCCACTGCTCTACTCCCTCTACACTTCAGACTGTGTGGCCACCCACGGCTCCAACACCATTGTGAAGTTTGCTGACGACACAGTGGTGTTGGGTGCCATCTCCAACAACGATGAGGCGGCCTACATGGATGAAGTGAAGAATCTGGCATCGTGGTGCCAGGACAACCACCTCCAGCTGAACGTCAGCAAGACCAAGGAGCTGGTGGTGGACTTCAGAAGGGGTCAGCACAGAGACTACAAGCCCATTATCATCAATGGAGCTCCAGTGGAGAGGGTGCAGTCCTTCAAGTATCTTGGTGTCCACATCTCCTCAGACCTGACATGGGCTGCCCACATTCAGGTCCAGACCAAAAAGGCTAGGCAGCGCCTGTATCACCTACGACAACTGAGGAAGTTCAGGGTCTCTCCAAAGATCCTCAGGATTTTCTATACAGGCGCTGTGGAGAGCATCCTCACACAGAACATGACATCGTGGTTTGGGAACAGCTGTGTGAAGGACCAAAAAGCTCTCCAGAGAGTGATCCGTACAGCAGAACGCTGCTGCAGGATTGCTCTCCCCCCGCTTCAGGACACCTACACCAGGAGATGCCGGACTAGAGCAGCGCAGATACTGAAGGACCCGTCCCATCCTGGCAACAAACTTTTCCAACTTCTGCAATCTGGTAGAAGGTTCCGCATCTTCCGGGCAAGGACAGAGAGACTCAAGAGGAGCTTCTATCCCCAAGCCATCCGTGCCCTAAACACACACACCCGCCCTCTCACATCATCTATAATTGACTGAGTCAGGACTCTTCCAGACACTAAACCAAGGCACAATGTACATTTCAATTCCTTTAATTTTAAATATGTTTATATTGTCTATCCTGTAAAATAGTCAGATGTCTATTCATATTAATATATAATGTTCTTCCTCTACACCCCCTTCCCCCCCCCCCCCCCCCCCCCCCAATTTTTGCACATGTCGAGGAGCGTGTCAGGCTACATTTCACTGTGTGTTATACTTGTATAACTATGCATGTGACAAATAATAAAGAGCCTTGAACCTTGAACCTTGAAAAGAAGAACGAGAGCATAGGCAGACTGGGCCAAAGCTTATGGACACAGAAGACTGAAATGTGGGATATAAACAGGGAGACAGTGGCGTCATCGCGGTGCATCACATGAAGTCCTTCGGCAGTCTGAGCCTATAGCAACATAATTAAGCAATGTTTCAGGGTCACCTGATACCTTCGTCAAAATGGAAAGTTTTGATCCTAAAATCCTAAAAGTAGAGAACGTGTCAGTCTCCAGCACAGCAGGAAAGGCGTCTGAGAGAGGAAAGCTCCGCCCCCCATTCTGAGTGAGCAGCTCTCAGTCTGAAGGCACTATGAAAATATAGGACTTTTGGATGTGATAGGGCCTCATTATTCAAGGCTTTGCAGGATTTTAAGAAGGATTTTTAAATTCCCGGTACTCTCACTGCAGCACCTGAACCAACTGAAGGCAACTTTCAGAACAACCTGATGTTAATGACTTAGTAGTCCAGCCTAGAAATAATGCATGCATGAACTAGTGTTTTAGCATCACTCTTTTTACAGATAATAGCAATCCTGCATATTTGTTCAGAGCCCGTCGAAGGACATGATCTGAAAGTTCCTCACAGTGTTGCTGGACATCAAGGTAATGCCATCCAGAGTCTAGTTCTAAGATCTTTAGGGCCACAGAAAATAACCTCATTGTTTTTTGGATACAGCACAAGGAAACTGTAGAACTTTGTGTCTCAAAGTCACGGCTGCAGTATGAATAACTGATATGTGTCAACTGGCTTCAGGTAGGTGTTTGCTGAGTGGGGGCATTCCTACTATTCAATGTTATTTCAGGATATAATAATATAAATCTTTTATCATAAGCTTTATAACTGCATTATGGTTTGTTTGTTTTTTAAATATATATATATATATAACTATATATTATATAAAAAGATGTTTTTATATTTTTAAAAATGAAACCATTTTTGTAACATTAATTATCATTATAATTTAAACACTTTGACTTATGACTGTAAATACATGTGACAGGGTAGACATCTTATGATGTTAACACATCAGTGAACCATTATGAAACATGGAGAGAAAAAAGGCTGATGAAAGATGTTTTTGTAGATGATTTCTCTCCAAAAATATATACAACTGTAAGTCACATAATTAGAGGACCAATAAGGGGACCTATTTAGCAGGATTTCCATATGAGTAATAGGGAGGATTTATTTGAAAGACTTTAAGCATTAAAAATGTGTTCATGGAAAAACATCCAGTTAGTGTAGAAAATTATGTAGGTATGTATGTAAAAGTACGTTTTTCTAACAACATGCCAAAGAGAAGCACGTATAATGTGAATAGTATTGGTCCCAGCACATAACCCTGTGGGGTGAGTAACTTCTGTGCATGAACAAGACTCCCCGTTTACATGCACAATATGGAGTCTGTCAGACAGACATATTCAAACCATTGCAGTGCATGTCCTTTAACACCAACAGTGTAGCCTCTGAACTGTACAGGGTAACTCTGTAAGACACCCCACTAGGAGACAGTGCAACCGAACCCAGAGTGAATGTACCAATTTGTACATATATACACTCCACCCAAGTCATGGCCTCGCCAAATGCAAAGGCCGAGCCGGGGGGCGGAGGCAACAGTCTGCAGATGCAAGACTGGCCCGAGCCGGTCCCACAAGACGCAAGGACCGCGATAGAGCGGCCGCACAAGGACAGCCCAAAAGACGCCAAGCCAACTGCCAGGAAGCATAGCACACCGAGCTACCAATGGGGGTCCTGCAGACAGAGAGTCAGGCAATACGGCAGGGGAGCACAGGCTACTAAGCCACTCGAGCACAGCAGCTAAGCTAACAGACTTGCTAAGGTAGATAGGGGGCTGGGGGGGGCAGTGTCCAGGAAGGCTGCCGAAACAAGCTCCCACAATGGACACCACTACCACTATCACACACACAGTCACACAGTACCACATGTAAGTACTACCAGTGAACCGCACACGCACAAACAAACAAGTGGAGATCAAACAATCACCGGTGTCACGTTTGCAAAGCCGTTTTATCTGTAAGCTGTGGGGCGTGGCCAGGCTATCCAGAGTGTCTTAAAGAAGTATCCACACGCCATGACCAAGAGGGGGTCATACCCTGTACATATGGAATATGTAACGGAGTGGAGAGATAGTCTCGATATGATAGGGAACAAACGCTGCACTGAGGTCTAGCAGGACAAGCACAGAGATGAGTCCACTGTCAGAGGCCATAAGAAGATCATTTGTAACCTTCACTAAAGCTGTTTCTGTGCTGTGATGAGCTCTGAAACCTGACTGAAACTCTTCAAATAAGCCTCTGCAGATGATCTGTTAGCTGTTTGACAGCTACTCTTTCAAGGATGTTTGATATGAAAGGAAGGTTGGAGATTGGCCTATAATTAGCTAAGACTGCTGGGTCTAGAGATGCTTTTTGAGTAAAGGTTTAACTACAGCCAGCTTGAAGGCCTGTGGTACATAGCCGATCATTAGAGATAGGTTGATCATATTTAAGATCGAAGAATTAATTAATGGCAGGACTTCTTTGAGCAGTTTTGTAGGAATGGGGTCTAAAAGACACGTTGATGTCTTGGAGGAAGTAATTATTGAAGTTAACTCAGAAAGATCAATTGGAGAAAAAGAGTCTAACTTAACATCAATGGTACTAAGAGTAGCTGTAGATATTACATCTGTGGGATGATTACTGGTAATTTTTTCTCTAATGATAAAAATTTTATTTGTGAAGAAGTTCATGAAGTCATTACTAGTTAACGTTAAAGGGATGGTTGGCTCAAAAGAGCTCTGACTTTTTGTCAGCCTGGCTACAGAGCTGAAGAGAAACCTGGGGTTGTTCTTATTCTTCAATCAGTGATGAATAGTAAGATGTTCTGGCTTTGCGGAGGGCTTTCTTATAAAGCAGCAAACTATTTCTCCAGGCTAAATGATGATCCTCTAAATTTGTGACACGCCATTTCCTCTCCAGATTACGAGTCATCTGCTTTAGGGTACGTGTTTGAGAATTATACCACGGAGTCAGGTACTTCTGATTAGAGACCTTAGTTTTCACAGTGAAAACTGGATACTGTAGCTCAGCCAGCCTTCTTCAAGATCAATACTGGCGTCCGACAAGGATGCGTGCTATCCCCTTTCCTCTTCCTGTTGGTAATTGACTTCATCATGCGACGATCAGTTGACCAAGCTGGCATCGGTGTGCCCTGGCACGAAGCGCGTAATCTCACTGACTTGGACTTCGCAGATGACATCGCCCTGCTGGGCTCGACTCAGGAAGACCTCCAAAAGTTGACCGTGGCCCTGCAGAGGGAGGCAACGAAAGTTGG